TACTACTTTGGTTGATTTTTTTTTCTTACTCAGTTGTTCTAGATTAAATCAAAAGCGTAATTTATGGGCAAACAATAAAGTATATCGGCACTTCGGCTACTTGTGAATGCATAAGCTTCAAATCAACGTGCATACGCGTTAAGACAGACACATACAGAGAGTGAACGAGAGAGAGAGAGAGAGCGATTAGAAGATTGGTTTATTGGACAAGCACCATAAATGATAATAAATACGTTCGCGATATCACACAATAATTTCCAGGTGAACAGACACGGACGGCATAACGGATTTAAAGCTATTAATTTCGACCGTGTTCCGAGTTCTTCTTTTTCAACGACTTTCACTTCAATTTCGACCAATAAAATTCCAAGTAATGTGCCCTGAAATAATTTGGTGTGCTTAACAATTAAGATTTTACCATAGAAATTAGAATTATCGAAACAGTAGCTCGAAATGAATAAAACGAAGGAAAAAAACTCACACACACACACACACACACACACACTCACACACACACGTCTAATTTCACACGAAAGCGAGCGCAATCACTCCAAAGCTATTTGAATAATAAACGAACCGGAGACACCGAGAGAGCCACAAAAAATGGCAAAACAAATATCGTTGAGGTGAAGTCTTCATTCATGAAATACGCTTAAAATTAGCATAAATCGTATCATTTTTTTTCTCGACTCGGTTGAAATGAAAAACACTAGAAAACTAGTGCGAGCGTACACGCACTCGCGCAAAGGGAAAAATAAAGCGGTTTTTTTAAAGTATTTATTTCGGTTTGAGGCGAAAATGAATTCGGTAATGTAGTGGTCGTGAATTTATGTTTGGAATGAGAAGAGCGAGAGAAAATTGGACGGTTTCATTTGGGGGGAAAAGAAAGGAAAAAAAAATCTAATTAAACGATCTAGAAATGCTGTTGGTGGTCTTGGTCACATCGTATTCATGCCATTTGTCACGGAATTATTGCTAATAAGCTGTAATTTATCTTTTAACGGATATTATATTCAAACTACCAATTGCAAGTGTTTCATTTTCGGTTATGTATTTGCGCGATAAATTGACCGTTAATGAATTCACATTCTACAGTAATATTGACACATAAACCCATCTCATAAATTGTGTACCAAACTTTCTGTTCAAGAACATAAGGAGAAAAAAACCTGGGGAATCTTCACGGATCTCCATCGTCCTTTTTCGCTCCCTTTCTTTCTCGGCTTAGTGATAAGCGATAAAGAAAGCGCTTTATTTCTAATGATATCCATGGCCGGAGGATGGATATTTCATTTAAAGCGGCGATACAATCCAATTCATTTACACCGTTTTAATCGATTGCACTTTTCGCTAATTTCCTCTCCGTTGTTCGGTTCGGGTGATCGCAAGAAAGAAAAATGGTTTTGCCCACAGCCAATGGCAAATCATATACACATTTTGTGTGTTCAAAGTGGGGGCTGCCGCGCGCACGCGCACTGAGTATTACAGGTCAACGAACATGGGATTCTGGATGGTGCTGGCCCCAAGAGAATTACCACACAATTGGAATTCACTTCGAAAAATTCATATTCCCGATGGATCGATGTGGTATGTGCGCGCGTGCGCGCATTCTCGCAAGCGCAATGTCGACCGGAATCATAGTAAATGAAATTTTATTGGACGCAATTTTACATAAATTATAACATGCCGAGCGAAAAGAGCGCATTGGAAGCAGTTGTATCGGTTTGCTTCCACCGAATACCGTTAGCAGCGTTTGAAGATGAAGAAGAAGATGAAAAGATGTAGAAAAAATAAAATCTCCCCGTGTCTCAGTCCGAGCCCAGTCCGAAGTACCAAAACATTATAGCAATTTCACTCGCGGTGGCATTTCACAAAATGATGAATGACTTTTCATATATAGAATACATAAATTGGTAACACACACACACACAAAACATCCACTTTGTTTATCTTTGGTGCGGTCGGGGCCCCGACAAATAGATTGAATTCTCGTTGTGTGCTGTGTATATGTGTGTTTGTGCCAATTTATCCGATCTCATCAACCAAACCGATAGCGATCGCTATGCGCAGCATACTTGAAAAATAAATAGCTCAGCCGTAAATTTTCCTCGACGGTGCATGAGCGCGTGCTTGAAAATATTAATTCTCCGGCTGTCGTTTCTGTTGTTGCTACCGCTGCTGTCGTTTAAACGAAAAGTGATCGAAATAAAGTGGTTCATTTTCGCTATTGTTGTCATTCACATCGTTGTCGGTGTTCAGTGTTGGTGCCGCCAATGCCGGCTAGATTCCATTCGGTTTTTTTTTTGGCCGATGGCATCGAATTTCGAAGTGATATGTGCAAAAACTCACAAATAAGTCGTTTGATGCCTCTCTCAGCTGACACACCAGACCAATTCACGCTCGCTCTCTCGCGCATACATTTTTGCACCGATTGATTATGGTTTCTCTTTTTTTTTTCGTCTGTGTTGCTTCCTTCGTGTATGTGCCATTCTATTTGTCTGCACTTCGTGGCCGATTGTACCAACGACAGCTAAGTATTCTTGAAGCAACTGTGTCGTCGATGTCTTGTGTTACGTGGCTTAGCAACAGTCTCGGCTAAGAGAGAGAAAAAAAACACTCTCTTCGTCCATACTTTTCTACATATACCGCATATGAATGGGTAATTTCTGTGTTGCGACCGTCGAAATTTCTACGAATTTAGCTGGGCAAGAACCACACGAAAAGCGCATTAAAATCCAACTAAAATGTCATATGACTATTTAAATATCATTTGTTGGTACTTTTATTTCCTCGGGCCTTAATCTCAACGGGCTTTTTTGTTGTCGTCATTGCTACTACCACTTGGCTATCTCGCGATTGAACTCTCTACCATTTCTTTCGCTCTCGCTCGCCCATTATCACTTTCCATGTACATCATTTTCTATCTCAATCTCTCGCTCTCGTGCTGTTGCTCTCGGTTATAACAGCACATAGTATGTACCTGTGTGTAGGCTGTGAAGTTGAATTGAAATTTGTTTTCTATTAACTCTGTAAGTGTTCATGGCCGCTGTTTATTCTTCCCCTTCGTCGTCATTTTTTTTTTGTCAAACGAATCGAAAATCGTACCGTGCAGAAAATTTGCTTGCATCCATCAATTCAATGTTTAATTTTTCATCAACTGTAAATGATCATCACACGAAGAATGAAAAAAAAATCGAAAAAGTGAGAAAAAAACCAACGGCATTCCATTAACAAAGACCTGCCCTGACAGTACAATAAACAAATCACGTTTTAGTGCAAGTTAAGTACATTTCAATTCAATTGAATATGTGTGTTTTTTTTAACTTCTTCTTCATATATTCAACTTGGCTTGTTCATTTTCGTTGAGGCCGCTATTGATGCGGACTCACGCGCTTCCAACAAAGTAGAAAATGAAAAAAAAAAAACAAAATTAAAACAAGAAAGAGAAAAAAATGCGACGAAAGTACACACAATAGTTCATGCGTGCATGTAAGTGCTGGACATGTAGAGACCCCCCTACACTCTATCTCGCACACACACATACAAAGATCGAGAGTAAGTTTAGAAGAAGTAGAGGAAAGAAACAAACAAAAATGACAACTGAATTAAAAATTGTGTTATCATAAGAAGTAAAAGTGGATTATCGGCGAAAAAACGGCCATAAGTAAATTTTAAATACTTTTAATGGAATGAACGAAAATGAATGGAATGAAAGAAAATTAAATGCGAATAAATTTTTTTTTCGTAAACCGAATGGCAAATATGGTCGTGTAATGCGAAACAACACACACACACACATTCGGACTATCTGTCTAATTGTTAAACTAGAACGTTGCTTGACTTGCTTTGCCTGAATGATGATCGTTGAAACAATATTAATATCACATAAATGTGCAGTGAACAAGCGAAGTACGCACACGCCGCACGCGCACACGCTCAGCCCGTTCCATTGCTCTTTGTCCAACTTTCTCTGAACGGGCGAACCAATTTTGATTTTTTAAGCAAGCAACCACAAACAATATAAATATATTTCAAATTTCATCAGCAATGAAAACGATTTTTTTTTAAGTCAACACCTAAACAGCGCATAATTTAATTAGAATGTACATATTTATTCACTTATTTATAATGCATATCACCTTTTTATTTTTCAACCAAAAAACTGCAAACGAGTGAATGAACCTCTTTTTCGTACCCAGGTTTAATGCTCCCGTTTCAATTGATAAATAATAAATATCAAAATCGTTCACCACAAATTAGGAACGCATTTTATATTAACAAACAAAAATGACCCAAGTAAGTAAATATAACACTTAATCATTCGGTTGATTCGAATCAACAAAGATCTTTTGAGCCAACGTTGCTCCGAATCACTTGGATTCTTTGACAAAATTGCAACATTTTCGAATGGGATTTCCAGCTTTTTCTTCTTTTTTTTTTTAAACAAAAAGACCAATACTTTGACGGGAATTAAATGAATCGATTCATGGTGATTCAATCATCGTGATTGTACTAAAATGGATCAAAATGGGGAAAATATAACATTTTATGAAGAGAAAAATTTGTCCATAATTATTTTAATGTTTTTTCTGTGATCTTCAATTCGCAAAGAAAAAAATTCATCAATAATTGTAATCAATGCTTCTGTTGGTCGAAAATCGAAATCAAACGCGTTTTCCTCAATGGTTTTAAATAAGCAATTGTTCGCATCATTTCTGACTAGAATCGATCCAGCAAAATATTGATCAACTGAAAGTTTCATTTGCCATTTGAAATAGCTCTATCACAAGAAATAAATGTTAATAAAAAAAAAAACGTTAAAATAGCTCATAAAATGAGACTTTTGCCGAATCAATCGAAAAGTTTGTAAAGTTTCCAACAACTTGCGCAAGTGGAACTTGTTTGAAAAAGCTTCATGTGCGAAGTTTCATTGTTTTAGTACAAATAAACCGTGTGTACTAAATCACGTGAAACTCACGTTATCCATGGCACAAGTCCGCATCCACTTGACAGATGTGCTGTCAAACAAACTGCTGTCGAAACGCAAACCATCATTACAGCAAACTAGAATTGTGTTGCAGTTATTTTAGTCATACATTTGTGGATGATAATACAAAATTCCGAATTTTGTTTACATTGCCATAGCATTTTTATTGAAATTCGTCATTGAATTGTCAAAATTGTGTAGAGTGTAAATTGGTTGAGTGGAAATTTGCCACACAAACAACAAGAGGAGTGCATCGATGTTACCAACCAAGCGATTCAAAAAAAATTGATTGAACACATACAAAACCGAATACGGAATTGTCCAAAAAAAAAAAAAAATAAATCCATCAAAGCACCGAATGAATCATGGAAATACAAAGTGAAGCAATAACTGCGCCCGTTCAAAATGACCAAGTTGAAGAAGTGATAACCAACGGCAATGATACCGTTGCCGACGATGATGTGAATATGAATGCTTCGGAAAATTCTAGTCATCAAGTCAACGGGAGTCACAGTGAAACCAATACCGAAAATGACTGTTTGGTGCGACTGGTTTTTCGCGATAGTAGCACATTCGATGAATTGCATCAGGTGATTGGCCAATGTATACGTGATGCATTGTTTTCACTACAGAAGCGCGCCAATTTGATTGTTGAAAAAAGCGAAAACTGCGTTAAAATCAACGAGATCTCAGATGACAATGAGGAGAGTATGTTCATGGTTGATACACTGCCCACAGAAAATGCAAACGAATCCGAAGTCCCCGATTACAACTCAAGCCAACTTGAAATGCACGAAGAAGAAGCCACATCGAATGATGCTGAAGCAGATGATGGTGGCAAACCGAAGATGGGCAACTGTTGGAATTGTGGCGGTGATCACACTATGAAAGATTGCAAAGAGAAACGTGATTCGGCGGCAATTAGCCGTGCCAAACAGTCATTCATACAAAAGACTAGAACGGAACGATATCATTTGGAAGCTGAACAGAAGTACAGTCATTTGGTGCCGGGTCAATTGAGCGATAATTTACGCCAGGCACTCGGTTTGAGGTCGCGTGAACTGCCGCTGTTCATTTATAAAATGCGATTGTATGGATATCCACTAGGCTGGCTGGAAGAAGCTAAAATCAACCACTCTGGACTATCACTGTTCCATTCTGAGGTGAGCGCAGCAAGTTCCATTTTTTAATGTGATCAATTCTAACGATACATTTTTTTTTCTGTGTCAGGATACAAGCAGTGATGACAAAAAGGATGACGAAGATGGAGAGGTCGACAAAGTCGAATATGATGCATCCAAATTCATTGAGTATCCCGGTTTCAATGCAGCCATTCCATCGAATTTGATTGATGTAAGGGAGTTTTCGATTTTTTCTGGTTTTACAAAAAAAAACTTGTTAAAGATCGATTTTTTGGCACAGAGTTTCCGTATTGAGTTGAATTTGTTGTTTATATTTCGAAAATTTTGGAGAAAACTCAATTTTGGTCCGGCAATTTAAATTATTCGATTTTCGAGAAGAAGAAAAAAAAAAAAAAAAAATCGATCATCAACGGTGAAAACATGATCAAAATCTTAAAATATTTCTTTTTCCCCGATTCAGGATGGCGATTATTACCGAGTGCCTCCGATGATCTTTGAGCACAGCAAAGAAGGTTTGATTCAATCGTTGCAAAATAATTTGACAAAAACTTACAAGCGAAAGCGTCTAAAGCTTGATGTTAACGAGACGCCAGCGATAGACAATGTAAAAGGTGACGATATGGATATTGAAGCAAGTGACAGTGAAAATACACCGATGCTATTTCCGCAACCACGGCCCGTGTTGGATGAAAGCAACTCAAATACTGTAGCTGACGAAGCTTCGCTGCTCGAATTGGAACGCAGGCAAGAAGAGTTGCGAAAAGCGCTGGAAGATGCGAATTCATCTGATTCAAATTCATTGCCATCCGACCAAAATAACCAGCAACAAAACGACGATAACGAAACGCCCCAGCCAGAATCCAATGAAGCCACACAAGAGAAATCCAATGAGACAATCGAATCAAATTCCAATCAAAATAATACTGTTGAAACAGATAGTCCCGAAAGTCCAACTGGTGATGAATTCGTGACCGAAGTGTCAATAGCCGAAACCACTGCGGAATTCATTGAAACGACAGAAAGTGTAGCGATTTTGAATACTCCAGTACCATCGACGACCGGTCATTCGCGTGAATCTGTCTCTGGAACGCCGCTCATCAAACAAGTGTCACCGTTTACTCGACTACCAGGTGGCGAAATGTGGTCGGTCGGCGTGAGCGATGTCATCGATTTTGAAAATCTACCCGAAGCAACTGGTAAATATGGTACAATGAAGGGACTCATCGATAAAGTTCGCACGGTTGTTAAACGAATAAACGACGACACCGAACACGATTCGTCATGACACATTAGCGATGATAGTTAAATAAAACAAATCGATCATTGAGAGAAAACATTTTAAATTCAAATTTTGGAAATAGGAAAATGTTCGCAAAACAAAACAAAAATCAAGCCTGAATGCCAGGTATAACGCCTCTTTGAATAAAACAAATTACACACGAAATTAAAACGTCAATTTTGTTTTTTTATTTTTAAAAAAATCATTGTATTTTTATTTGTCCATCGGTTTTGTTTTGTTGTTGTTGTTTTTCAGGTGTGTTGTAATTAAATAAGACTTGTTTTGTGCTCTACATGTACATATACGAATTTATACATTAAATTGTGTTCGTTTGTGTGTGTGTGGCTGTGTGATAGCTTTAAAGCTGATATTCACTTGATGCATCTACTAATCGATTTGAATAAGATGTGCAGGTGAGAATTAAGTATGCTTTCAAAAAAGAAAAAATCTAGTGAAACAAACAAGAAAAAATTGGACAAACCGAGAAAGCAAACAATGTTTGTAGCCTCGATTCGAAAAGGGGAATAAAACCGTTCACTCGCTTCTATTCACACTTCAAACGGTGCCACACACAAAACCAATTAGTTCTTTTATTTTTTCTTGTAAATTCTAAAAACCAAACGAATTAAAATCTAAATTTGATCCACAAAGAAATAATTTTTACACAAATTTTACAAGGGTGATGTGATAGATTACTTAAAATGTACGAATTGGAACAAAATCGATGCTTAATGATAATTCCTTAAAAAAAAAACTCATGTGGTTTTTTTTTCTAAATTTTATTTTATCTTGAAGTATATAGTGACTAGCTTTTGGTCGCTCTCTGCATTGGAATCAATTGCAAACGAATAATAATTTCTTTCCCCATTTTTTTCTAAGAAAAAAAAAATCTAAATGCTTCAAAATGCGAGGCAAGCACAAAGAAGGGTAAAATTTCTATCATGCAAAAAGACTCGCATTTTCATTACCAAATTTTTTATTTCTTGAAAAAAAGAGAGAAAGAAACCAAATTTGCGAGCGCTTTGAAAAAGAAGGTATTGAATAATTTGTGTTGTGTTTGTTTTTAGCTTAGGCCAGCTTAGACTTAGAGAATTTCATTGGTAAAATTAGAGTTTATGACATATAAATTAATGCTTTTTCGTTTACATTCTATTGCTATGTTGCAGATACGTGTTTTTTTCTTCTTTATTTCATTAACGTACGTTTCGGCAATGTTTTTTTTTCCTGTTGTTTTTATTTCATTTTTAATGTACTATTTTATTTCGGTTGCTTTAGTTTCGAATTCATTTTGACATTGTATGAGGCTAATTCATTGTAAATTGGTTTTTATTTTCTTTCTTTCTGTTTCTAACTATAACTTTTATTATGTATGTTAATGTTTAATCAGTCTATGGATTGGATTTAGTTCATGCACAGTGATTATAATCATCAAAATGGATTTGTGCAGCTCAACCAAGCAATTTGGTTTGGTTTGGTGTGGATTAAATTGCAAGAGCGCACGCGCGCACGCGCGCATACATAAGATCGTTTGCTGTTGATGATGAGAATGACTGTACAATGACATAAAAAAGAAGAAATAATACAGTATACGATAACCGGCTGTGGAACTGTGTGTGTGTGTGTGATGCATGCAACATATGTATATTTGGGCAATTTTTCTTTTCACTCAATGGAAAGAAAAAAATTAATTGGTTGTTGTTGTTTTATCATTTGTCAGCCGTCCGTATCAATCGATGCTGCCGCTGCTGTTATTAGATTTGGCAAATTTTTTGAAATGTTGCACACTTCAAGCAACACAACCACCGCTTCGATGATAAATGGCGTGCAATCGATGAAAGATGACGGCGACGATGATGAAAAAGCATAAATGCACGCGCACAATTAACGATTCAAACGTTAAAGTCTTAATGCAATTTAATTATTTCTCATTATTTCATCTTTCTACACCTATTCAATAAAATTAGTTATTTTTTCTTGATTTATTTCTCGAGTGTGTTTTTTTTTACTTCTTCATCTTGAGTTTTTTTCTATTTTTCGTTTCACTTGATAGCTTTGGTATTATCGAGCTTTCATGCTACTCTCTTGATGTACGACTGTCTACATCCAATCATTTGATGTGTATGCATTTAGTAAGTTGTTTCGTTTTTCTACAGTTTATTCTTTTCTTCTCCGCTGTTTTTTTTTTGTTCTCTCCACATATTTTCACTTTTCACTCCATTGATTTCAATTTAACTATATACAAAATTGGCTCCTCATGCACCATGCACTATGCTTTTTTTCCCTTCTCCATCCTCTTCTTCTTTTTCTCACTCTTTCGTAACTTTTTCTGAACTTCTTTCTCTTTTTTTTTTGCATCATTCATAAATCATTTCGTAAATTAAATAATAGTAGTTTTTTGTGTCTGTTTTGCTTGTTGCTCGTGCGCTTTGCACGGGGAGCGTATTCGACCAAAAAAAAAACAATAAGTTAATAAATTAAACTAAATTATAAATGCTCTCGGGAATCGCATATGTTGCTTTTGCCTAAAACGTCAATGTCATTAGCAGCATTGACGTTCTACTGACTTAAAAGCATTGAAATGTCAATTGCTTTGACGTTCTAGGCACAAATTTCCGAGAGCCTTTGATTTAATAAAACATTGTTAATTAAAAAAAAAAACCTATTTCATTCTCAGGGCGGTGTTCCATCTTTCGAATGGGAATGAACCAGAGGAGAGAGAGGAAAAAAACGTAATTTAATAATGATATATTATATTATCGTTTTGATCCAAAAAGATATTTGCACGGAATGATTGATTTGTGCGGCGTGCACTGGAACTGGCTGCCGTTGCCTCTGTCTCTGCCACCGCCACCACCACCATCACCGTAACAACCAACAGCAGCAATTTATATCGGTAACAACGATTGTGCACATTTTCAATGGTCTCATGCACACGATGAGAATGAATATGCCATAAATATGAGTGTATGATGTTGTTGTTGCTGTTGTTTTCTCTCTTTCCGTCTTTCCAATTTTTTTCTCTCTTTCTTCTCTCCATTTCTTGCTCCATGTTTCGCTGTTCATTCACAGTTCTGACCATTGTTTTCATTTTCATATGCCAAAATCGCCGAATAACTGTTTTTTAAAGACTTCCTCGTTTTCTTCAAATTTCTGTGCGGTGATTGTGTTGAGTAGATTGTAGACGATGGCAAATATTGTGCATGCCGAATAAACGCCCAGCGCAATCCACCAAATGAGTTGTTCGTGTAGTTTTTGTTCGAAACTTTTGAGAACGAGCAGACCAATGGTGAGGCCGGCCAGTGCACCCGTTAAATGTGCAATGTAGGAAATGGACGGCGCGGTTGTCGGTTCGATTGCATACCGTGTATAGATGGCAAAACCCACATCACATGACGCTATAATTTAGGAAAATACACAATAGAAGAAGAGAAGAAAAAAAACATTGATTAGAATTGCGTATGTAGTATGTATGAGAGAGAGAGAGAGAGAGAGAGAGAGAGAGAGAGAGAAATGAAGTTGAATGAAGAAAAAAAAGGGTCAATTGATCGATATATTTTTTTTCTTCCATTCAAGCGAAATTCTAGTGAAGCAGAAATGAGAACGCGCACTAGTTATTCTCTCGAATTTTTTTTCTTCCTTGTTCGCATATTATTTTCGCATCGTATGCACGATATATGTTTACTTACCGAAAAGAAAAATGCCGACAATTCGAATGATGCCATAGTGCATATTGTTGTAGTTCAGCATGACATTAGCTAAATGTGCGGCCAGAAGAGCGTACACACCACCACTGGCACCAACTAAATACACTTCCGGATCGAATACGCTGGTGCCCATCGAACCAGCTAATACACCGGCCAAATAGACGCAACCGATGCGCGTTGAACCATGTACCATTTCTAATGGTAAGCCCACCAGAAGTTGTACAATTAGATTGAAAGCCAAATGAAACCATCTGGAACCGAAATTAAAGTCGAAAAGAAAAGAAAAAAAAACGAAACAGAAAAATTAATATTTGGTTTTGGTTTACAAAAAAAAAACGAAGTCGATTAAAACAATGCCGAACAAATTTATCATACAACAATACAATTCTCTGGTAGTCAGTCAGTCATTTTTTTTTCACTTCAAGTTTTTTTCTTCGTTTTTAAATGCATTCGAAATGGAAATTAGTCATTTTTTTCCCTCTCTATCTTTGCACTGTGTGTGCGTGTGCGTGCGCGCGCGCTCTCAATTTTCACACAATTTTTCAAATCGAACGTGAACAAATATCATTAGTTGTGGTGTGAAACGGTTGGACGACGAATAGTGAGGGAAACAAATGAACATGCAAAATGCAACTGACACCATCGATTAATGTTGTACAAAAGAATGTGTTACGCTTTAAAGACTCGCTTATTTTCTTTCTTTTTCTTTCATTGTTATCCATGTGTAACTTACCCGGCATGTAAAACCATATAGGTACCGAAACGCCATAATTCCTGCCGTTTGTCGGGCCGATAGATGAATAACGAATCGATCGGAATGGGACCGGCCGGTTCAAGTTGTCCTGACATCAGCGAATAGTATGCAAAAAATCCCAACTGTCGGAAGAAGCAAACGGAACGAACGAACGAAAAAAAGAATTCTTATTAATAAACCAGAACCGTTTCGGTAAGACCACTTAAGATAAAAAAAGACTAAACAAGCATATTGCACCGAAACGATGATGGCGTTTCTAGAGCTTTGTCGCAAGTGCCAAATAGCGTTGTTTCAACCAATAAATGTGATAACGAAAATGTATATCCAAAGAGAAAAAAAGCCAACGAAGTAAAAAAAAGAAACTTGAGATGAGAAACTGTATCATAAAATATACATTCACTCGTGCCGCTGATCGCTTTCGGTTGTTGGCTCATTTTGGCACCCAGAAGAAACAACAACAACGAAAAACCCATAAAAATTATTACGCTTCGTGGCCGAAAAGATGATATGATTTTATTTGGCGGCACAAACACAACTCACATTTCGTGTCTTTTCTCTATTCATCTATCTCGTTTCGTCTCAATTAATCCGACCAAAAAAGACGTAAAATGTTGTTTTGCGGTGCGTTTTCATCGCACTTTTCATGTGTTGCAGTTCCGATTCGGCAGAATGAACTGAGTTAGAGAGAGAGAGAGAGAGAGAGAGAGAGAGAGAGAGAGAGAGAGAGAAACAAGAGGGAAAAATCGACAACGATGATGAAAATAATGAACACACGCGCTCTTGGTGCGAGCTCACGTCGAGATCGTTTGTTAATGCTTGGCTTTTTTTATAATTCTTTCTTTTTGGTTGGTGAGCCGGTGTGTGCATCAACTTTTATTCGGATAATTACAGGTCGATTTTGTTTAATAGGTAGCAACAAAAATGGAATGGAAAAACTATCAGCCCATTCGCGTTCTCTCTGTCGGTGTGTGCTTGTGCACATGTGCTCACCGAAAATTGGCCAAAAACAGAAAAAAACACCACGTTCGTTCGTTCGTTTGGCTCATCATTCTCGAAAATGTGCACGTACGCTTGTGTATCATAGCTGTACACCATCATCATCATCATCATCAAGAGGCCGCATTCCGTTGGAAAATGTTATGTTAATGCACGGGGCAATTTTGGATTCGATGATGAAGTCTTTGTGGTGCTAAGAATATGAACGACAATGTCGCTTTTATCGAAGCAAATTGATATGCATTTTTGTCATTTCTCTCCTCCTCTCTCTCTCCCTGCGTGTGTATTTATTTGGGCCATCTCTTAGCGCCACACAATAATTTCTCGTCATTTTCGTGTGCCACACGATTCATGACAGTCTCATTCTCATTTGAATTTTCGTCGTCGCATCGATTCGATAATTGTGTACTTTGGCTTCGCTTTATTGATATATCAACAACATTGTATGCATGTTTTCAATGCAATTCCTAGAAAAAAAATGCGTTAGCCGGTTGTTGACGTGTTTTTTTTTCCTTCACTCAGCTCTCTCTCTCGATCGCGGTTGTGTTTTTATTTGTGATTCACTAATGCAAATAGTGCTTTTCCGCGCACGCGCTCAAACAACATCGTCATTACACATTTTGCATCGAAGTATACACACCTTCGAAGAATTAACCGAATTGAATGATGAATGAAAAACGGGCAGGAAACAAACAAATGCACAGACACAAAACTTGACCACGTGAAAAAAAAAAACAACAATTTTGTTCAACATACTTTTTCGATTTGAATTATTGAATGTATTAAAAGTGGTTTTTTTTCTACTCTCTTGCGTTCTTTTCAAAACAAAGAATGCATGAAATATTAGACGAAGTTGGGCGAGCAAACGAAGGAAGAGACGAACCAGAATGGGAAAAAGAAGCAGAAATAAATTATAATAAAATATGTTCAAAGAAGGTGAATAAAAATGCGCAAGGATTCAGTTGAATGGGCAGAACGAGCGATTGACATTAAGGTGTTGATGTGCAATGACATTCTAAACAGGGGGAGGCAAGCCAATTTAATTGAAAGAATGTCGATTTACATGCAGACCGGCCATGGTCTATTGTATTAATTGTTTCCTTTTTTGCGCACTTGCGCTCTTTTGTGAGAAAGGAAATGCGTATTTCTTTGTTTAGTACTTCAAATGTGCTGCTCGTATCGGAGGTGAACAAAAGCAAATGGGAAAAAACGACAGAGAAAGAGACGAAGAAGATGTTTGCGCGCAGCAAGTAAAGACTCAACGAATTAATTAAGTGTTCTTTGACACTTGAGCTTGCACACAATCATCATTCGCAGCTAGAAGTGAGCGGCGCGTATTTCGGTTTGTTCACTAAAAAAAATGTGCACAATTCATCCAAACAATTAATCATGCGATGCGATGTAATCAGTTTTCAAGTCGGATATTAAGCAATCAGCCGCAATTTTACATTTCATCGCGTTGTTTCAATTCCGAAACGAATCTTAAGTGTTAATGCACAATGATCGCACGCGTTGTAAGCTCGGTGCATTAGTCGAGTTGCCGATTTGTTTTTTTTAGTTTGCATGCATAAAGCATATCAGACTTATTAAGATAGTCTCATCGTACGTTCGTTCAAAACGCCGCCGTCGTCGTCATCGTCGACATCAACCACGCATTTCCGCTGCAAAAACACACTCACGACAAAAAAAAAATAGAAAGAAATTCGCTGGAAATTGTCGATTCGTTGCTGTGTATGTGGATATGTTTGAGTTGGTATAATCGGTTGTTATGTTTCCTCGGCTAATTAATCGATTTACGTGGCCCATCCTTAAAACGTTGCGTTCGTGCGTTATTGCGATGAGGCAACATTTTCAAAACATTTAATTATCGGCAGTGTGTATTGCTCTCTCTCTCTCTCTCTCTCTCTCTCTCTCTCTTTCAGGCCATTCGTTTGTTGTTCATCATCATTTTATTTTCTATTGTTTCATTTTCGGAAATTTCACATTTCGATTTCATTAGACAATCAAATTAGACAATCTTTTTGATCAAAATGCGTAAATATCTACTTCTTCTCTTTGGATAACATTTTTTCAAAATATCTAAAGAAATAATTCAACCAATATTCGAGCGCGAATCCAAATTGAAATGACAAAAATTACGTATTGCCTTACGGCAACCGCCGTCGCTCGAAAACTGTATTGAATTGAATATAAAACAAAAAGATGATGCGATTCTTGATTAGAATCTTACCTCGATTATAGTGATCAGCAGTATGAACAGCGGTGGCGGACAACATGAATAACTGTCTGCATAATATTTCCGGTCTCGTTCCTCCGGTAGCACTTCCATTGCAATTACGTGAACCATTCTATAGGAACATTTTTCGAAAAGAAGCACAAGAACAGAGAAAAAAAAAATAAATAAATTTACAATTAAAAAATTGATGGGTAAAGAAAGGCAATTTTTCAAACCAACGGCCAACTACCAAAGATAAAGAAAAATTGTTGTGCACAATATGCTTTCTATTTACTACTAGTAGTGTGCCTACTGCCTGGTTGTTGCTGCGCTTGCCACAAAATGCTTGCCCGAGCACCACACTCGGCTAAAAAATTCTGTGTTTTCGGTGTCGACGATTTCACATAAATTGAAACATATCATGGAACATAAATACAATGTTACATGCACGGTTATAATTCATTTAATGAGTGCACCGTGTGGATGGTGTGCGATAATTATATTATTAGCTCGACGTTTTCCACCGTACAGTGTTTTTTTTTCTTCTTTAAAACTTTTTTTTTCGTTCGTTAGTTCATTCGTTTGTTTTATATTATTATTATTATTATTGCGTGGAATGTATTTTGGACACAAAACCAAATGCGCGCCCGTTGAAGATAAGCAGTTCATATGTTTTGTATGAAAAAAAAAAACGAAAGAAAGAAAAAATCGCATCAAGTTCCATGCAACCATTTTTGGCCGGGGCTGCCGTCAAGGCTCTAACACCATCAGTTAAATGTACCGTTACGCCTTGAACAACCGAATTGTTGAACAAACGACCGAATGAACGGAATAAAAAAATATTGTGTTTATTAACAATTTACAACGCAACTACTTTACATTCACGATATTATTTCTTTCGCTTTTGTCGCTCGCTCTCTCTCTCTCTCTCTCTCTCTCTCTCTCTCGCTTCACTTAATGTTCATTTACAAAGGTTGATTATGTGAAATGAATTTATGCTCGGTCTGGCTAATTTTTAACACTTTGTCGTCGTCATCTTAAAATGCAAGCGAGAACGATGCCATGCAACAACATGTAACAGTGGGAGAAAAACAACAACAATTGCGGAAATAAAAAAGCGAAACTGATTTTTAATGCCACTTACCTTTGAAATAGTGGTTGGTACTCGTTTATAATATGAAAATCGTTCTCAGAGCAAACTTCGCGATCTCGATGATGAACGGCACACTTGAAACTGCGTGATCGCTTACCGCTCATCTGTAATTTTGAAGAGAAAAACAAAACGCGTTTAGTTAAATGGGCTTTAAAAAAAAATTATTTCAAGTGTAAGTGAAGAACACTTAATTATATAATCTATTAAATTTTCTCATTTAAAATTTAATGAAAAAAATATATAGAAAATTATATGATAATGTTTGGTATTTGTTTAAGTTAAGTCAAGATGTTGGTGTTACAATTAAATTAATTAGCTAAATGAATGCAGCAAACGTGGTTGTGCGCTGCACATCGATGTAACGCATTCAGAGTGTGTACGTGAATGGCATTAGATAATGGACGGTTACATGAGACTGTTTTTTTTTCTATGCAGCACCGTGTGGACACGAAGGACTTCATCTTAGAAAACAAAAGAAAGGTTGAATATCTTCGATTGTTGTTTTGTAGAGAGCGGTCACATTGGCACCGGTCGCTGCCGCCGCTACTTAAATTCCATTTTCAACGTAAAATGATATACGGTGATGTTTTCGGTCTTCTTATTCAATTCAATATCATGTTTCGTCGTTTGTTCACTCTTTTTTTCATTCTGTTGGATAGAAAATTCGCTAGAAAAGCAGCAAAGTACACACGCACAATGTCAATTACAACCATACGAAATGAGACCAATGAAAAGAATTAAAGACTTTGAACTAAATACTCGGCAAACATTTTGTTTGTTTTGTGTGTGCGGAAAAAAAATAAAGAGTAGTCGCCAAACTGAGCAGAGCAGAGCAGAGCAGTAGCAACAGTAGTAGAATATACAAAATACAACAAACGCGCATTGCAATTACATCAGTATGACGAATTAAATGGATGAATGTTGGTATTTAAAGGTAGGATTTTATGTTGCACGATTATAGTGTTGTGCGCGCGGAAAAAAAAGCATGCGACTTTGGTCATTCAGAGGGAGACACAGCTACATACACCATACAGAAGTCACATTACCCAATTTCTTATTTGCATTTGGTATATTTTCATGGCACGCGATGTACGGCATTATGTTTTTATTTTTATTTTTTGAGTGTATCTATCTTCATTCCACGATTTTTGTTCATTCTTTTTCGTTGCCATCGTTGATGATGACGACGACGACCATTCTTTGTGGTACATTTGAGAATGTGTGCACAATTTTAAGCCCTGCTAATGATATTGGTTTTTCACTTGAAATTCTACACATACGGTTGCATCAAGAAAAAATAATGAAACGAAACGAAACGAAACGAACACACAAACCCGTAGCAATTCACGTGCTAAAATGTGCTCATATCACTCACAACAAACAGCAGCAAGTGAACCGCGAGGCTTTTCACATTTCGATTTGAAAGACACAACAAAAGAAACTCGGCTGCAATGGAATGAATTATCGAAGGTACTTGCTTCGAACATGCCCGAACCCGAACAACAAACTGCGAGACTAGAACACAATCCGCCAAGGTATTTATTAATAAAGAGAGAAGAAACAAACGGTGGTATTATTTCTTTTTTTTTCTTCTTTTTTTTTTCTTCAAAAAGGTGAAAAACAATTCGAAATGTGAAAAATTGGAGTGAATTAATGTGAAATAATAAAAAAAAAATCAGAAACATGCACAACACACACACACACACCGAGAGAGAAAATGATCAAAAAATGGAACGCACCGACAAAGCATGAAGAAAAATAAGATTGTAGCAAAATGCTGAAACAAAACTCAAGCCATGAAACCAGTGTATATGAGAAAAATGTGTAATTGGACGCTGAAATTTAATAAGTACAAGCTTGTGCGTTAATATGGGCTAAATGTTTGTTGGTCTCGTGCACATTGGCCTTTTTGGCCAACGTTGAAACAATACAAATGGGGGGTCAAAAATCACTTTGCCATCGTTTCGTTTCTTTTCGAATTTTTTTTCTTCATTTCTTTTTGTTTCTTCGTTGTCTCGCCGCCACGCTCAAATCAAACTGCACTAAATAAACAATTAATAAACAAATTAGCATAGACATGTGTGTGTTCGTTTCGTGTCCATCGCATTCGAAATGCGAGAGAGAGAGAGAGAGAGAGAGAGAGAGAGAGAGAGAGAGAGAGAGAGAGAGAGAGTGAGAACCGTATGCAGAGCAAGGCTTGCGATTACATTGCTGCTCGTTGTTTTTCGCATCTAATCGAAACCTGCAACAATGGCCACATTTTTCGAGTGGTTTTGCATCGTTCGTCGAAATTCATTTCTCACGAGAGAGCGCGCTCGAGTTGGAAAAGTATGCAGAGCTGCGTCACCGTTACCACACAAAGGATGCCATTCATTCTATTCAACGATGTGTGATTGGAATTTTTGTGAATTGCTGCTGCTAATGCTGCTGCTGCTGTTTCCATTTTACCCGTGTTAACTATGAAATACGGGACTTTTTCAACACGCTAATGCGAATTTATTTGGCATTTGGCTTTTGTTTTCGCAAAAAGGGAGAGAGAGAGAGAGAGAGAGAGAGAGAGAGAGAGAAATATGCTCATACACTCGTATACTCGAATACACAATCCATTTTGCAGATAAAAGAGCATAATTAATATTATGCTATGCATTTAAAAAAGTTTCGGTGCTCGGGGAGAGAATGAATGTGTGAACGGGTTTGCGCGCGCGCAAAAGAGTTGAAGCGGCGCTTTTCTTGTTGTTACTTTTATTTTCTCGGTCTCCCTCTCTCGCTTCTCTTGATGTCTTTGAGATTATATGCGAATGTTGTTAGCACAGCAACCAAGCAGCCAGCCAGCCAGTCACCTGGCCAGCCAGTCAACAATGGAAGAGAGAATGTCGATGGCGAGGGAGTAGGTGTTGCATTTGGCCAAAACAAAATAATTAGTGAAAATGAAAATATAACGATAAACAGTGCTCTGACCGGCTCACAGCACACAAAACGACGAAGAGATCGCATGGTGAACAGGGAATGTGTGTGTGTGTGTGTGTGTGCGGGAACCACCGCAAGACCAAATTGAATTGGCCAGATATCGCAATAGCAGCGTGTTCATTTTGGAATTGCGTCTTGCGCAAGCTGTCATCATTAGCAACATGCACGAGAGGAAAACCGAGTCACATCGATCGATCGAGAGAGTGAGCGAGCGAGTGAGTGAGATAGGAGAAGAGAGAAAGAGCGTCGATGACTCGACCACAAAATGAAAATACCACAAAGCGAGAGCGATCTAACATGTAACGTTTGCGCGCATGATCATTCGCCCAACCAGCCTAACCAGACAAAGATAGTGAAATGGTGCGACAGAGAGAAAAAAAAGAGCAATGTGGAAAAAGAAATTAATGCAAGAAATTCAAAAAGCAAACAATAAAACAAACAGGAAAACAAAACAAACGATGGAAGCACTCTCTCTCTCTCTCTCTCTCTTTCTCGGTCTCGTCGTTTGGCTTGAGCCACAAAGTGTTGGAGTTGATGTTTGTGTGTGTATACACGTTACATCGGTTCATACGATCGACTCTATAATATACAATATCCATACAACATTTTTCTTATTTCATACAATATTTTTCTTTTCATTTCCGTCTCTTTCGCGCGCGTGCGCGCGCTACCTCCGCGCACAGGTCGCGCTTGCTCCCCACATGTATATATTTTTTTTATTTATTTTTTAAATATTTTAGTCTAGGTGAAAGGAATTCGTAGTTGTTCATTTGTTTTTATGTATGTAGACATTTCTTCCTCTTCTTCTTCTTCTTCTTATTATTATTATTCTTCTCACTCGAAGAGAGAAAAAAAAATGAATGTGTGTATGGTGCGATTGTCTGAGCGTGAGATTCTTGCAATTGTTTTTCTCCTATATGCTTTTTTTTCTTCGTCGTTTTGAAAATATAGTTTCTCTCTCTCTCTCTCTCTCTCCGCTTTATTTTTGTTTTTTTTATTTTTTAAATATTGCTCGATGTCTCTTCAGAATCAGAATGAAGCGAAGTTGGATCATTTCAACAACATGCTTGTGTGCTCTCTATCTCCCGATTAAACTATAGTTAATCTGCCCGTTTGAAAATCGTTCCCGAGTGTGTGTCGCTTATGTTTCACTCGTTGCTTGATTGTAAGCTGCACATACAGGCTCTTTCTCTCTCCCCCTCCTCTCTCTCTCTCTCTCTCTCTCTCTTTGTGTCTCAACTTTTCTCGCTCTGTCGCGAACTTACGTTTTCTTCGCGGTGAGTGTTTTTTTCCATGGCAACATTGCAAACCACGGTTTGGTACTAGCAAATGTTTGAACCAAAAGAACAACCTGTTTGTCTATGTGGTGTTTTTTTTCTCGTTCAATTGAAAATACACACGGAGCAAATAGTATGCAAACGAAAAAGACGAGAGGAGAAAAGCGACGAATGAAAGAAAAAATAATAACAACAGCAACATATACAAAACAGCGCACTCGTCGCAACACAATGCATCAGCACGTTTAATACAGAAAAGAGAAGAGAGCGCAAAAAAAACACAATTTATTCCACATTATTTTATTATTTCTGATATATTTATATTACGGGTTGATAGTGTCTTTCATGTCGTTTTCACATGCACTTATTATATGCTCATTGTAAGTATATTATGCGCTTGACGGTGGCACTATCTCTATAGCTACTTCTCTGTTTCCATCTCGTTCGTTCGTTCAAGTGTGCGTGTACATCGGTAGGTCGATTCGGATGCTTGAAAATTAAGAGCCTAACGGAATTGTAAACGAAAAATTCCGAGCCCGCGCGCGATCAACTCACGAAAGGCACATTGTGGAGAGAAAAAAAAAACGAAAATAAAGGAGACAAGCGAGAGTGCGAGAGATATTTTTCGGCGGTTATGGAATGTGTGTTGTTGTTTTGTTTTTGTTTTTTCAGGGACCAAACACGCGGAATAGATAAAAATTGAGCAAATAGACCATTCCATTGGGTGAATTGTAGTCACAAAACAATGAAATACGTATGTTATGTCTACATAACACACAGGAAATTGAGCGCACACAATTTGATCATCGGTCCAATTATCGGCAAATGAGCGAGAGCAAGCGAACGAAGTGTATTACGCT